AAAGCCACGGAGCCAGCCAGAAGGCCGAGCTGAGAGAATTCCCACTTTCTGCCTCACCCACGGTTCGAAAACGGCCTTTTCTTAACAACAGGTTGCAACTGCCTGGGTGAATAGTGACCCCGTTGCACAGGGTCATTTCTATTGATCCATCAAACACGCTTCCCCGGTCACAGGTTTCTCACCACGCACTGTGCACGTTATTCAGCCTCCTGTCCTTTGAAGATGCGGAAGAGTTGCTGTCGAAGCCAACAATAGCGAAGTCTCTGCATCGTTGGCAGGATGTTGCTGTAAAGGTTACAGAATGAACTTCTCGGTGACTAAACCTAAAGTCGAGAATACAGGATAGCTGATCCTGGAAAATTTATCTCATCCTGTCTGGAGTCACACAGAACCATTTGCCAAATCTCTTATTAGAAAATATTTCACGTCACGGATCAACCAAGTTCCTTTCTTACCCTTCCTTCCGTCCACACCAAATCCGATAAGTGACTGCTCTCTTCTCGACCGGAGAAAGCTCAGAGGATGAAGATCCGGTCACTTTACGTGCTTCGGACAGATGTCCCAGGTTTTTTACTGTTGAAACAGGAAACACTGTCAGATCCTTCTGGAGAATTCTATTGTTACATTTGCAAATACAACTTTTAGCCAAGGTGACAATGGCAGAGGGCATCTCTCTGCCACATGCAGTTCAAAGAAACTGGAGATGAAGGAGGCGAAGGAAATCGCAGCTCTCCACGGCCCACTGCAGCGCCGCCTCGTTTTATCTTTTTTTGTCCAGTTTCTGGTTTTGTTCAGTTTGATTTTCAGATGTCACAGAGGCAGATGCAGCGCTTGACTTCCTTTCCATTCCTCGTCAGAACATTCATGTTCTAATTCAGCATCCAACTTTTTTGACTCAAAAGAACCTAGATTTTTTTTCTTCATGGCTACAAGAACCACACGACAGTCAGCGTTCCCAACCTGTGCAAGCGGGGCTCGGCTGTGGAGCAGTGTGACACATCTAGATCTGGCCTTTGGGCCCCTCCAGCCCTCTCACCCACCGTTCTTTCCTACGGTTTCTCACAGTACACCTAAGCCAGCGCCACGTCTCATTTGCGCAACCTCCTGCAGGGATGCCAGGCCATCAGCAGCCACCTGCGAGGTAGCGTCTGCGGCAGCGTCGCTCTCGAACACGTAGCGTGGGCACGCCGTCCTCCAGGCCGCCAACTGGCTACACCAGTTCTGATCTACAGCTCACCACCCCTAAACGCCCCCACCTTGGTCTCTTTTTTCTTTTTAATAATTTCTTTACATTAATGCACATTTTGCTGATCCAGAGTCAAACTCGGAGGCACCATCAAACTGTAACTGTAGGCTCCAGGCTGCTTTATCTCACGTTCTGCATTACGGACACAGAACTTCTAGTTCCCGTTTTGATAACCAGTTTGTTCTGTAGCTAGGAGACACGCCCTTTCTTTGTAAATGTTACAAATCAAGCGTATCTGATCCCTTATTCACTAACTGCTGCTGCTTCCCACTTCCATCTCCTATTAGGAGGTAGCACTCATGCCAGAAATGTCACGGCAGCGTCATGTGACAGGTGGTATTGATTTAGCTAAGTCGGGTTTTAATGTCACTCCCGTTCAGTGGGAACACAGGGCGAGCGCTCACCGAGCCTCAGCAACGTGGCAGATCAGGACAAGAGCTACCAGCCAGCCCTGGGCTGGGCTCTACGACCCTACAACGGCACCAGCTGGAAATCAAGAAATTCGATTATTGCTTTCTGCTCCTACATTATCATGGTTAAATTTTCTTCATGCTTGTAACTATTAATTAAGACTTGGATTCTGAGGTTTCGTGTCAGGTTTACACGAGAATCGAGGTGACTTGCCCAGTATCACACGATGGACAGTCAGGAGCAGAACCCTGCTCTGTCCACTCCATCTTTTTCACCCTTTTACAAGCTACACCCTTTTGGCAGAAGAGCTGCCAGTTTTGGAACGGTGCTCACTGATACACGGAAGCCTCACAAAGTAAAACCTGGGGAACATACGCCCAAAACAAGCCGGGCTTACCCAGCCACAGGAGCCATCAAACACGGCATTCATGCAGCCTTACTGACAGCCTACCTACTGTAAACTATCCTTCCAAAACATCAAATCCAGCTGCGACTGAAGACAACACTTAAAGTATTATAATACACGGAGTCTTTGTCACCAAGGAAGTTTGCCAGAAAAGCCTAGACTGACCCACAGTTACTGCTGTTGCCAGGCTCTGAAACGGTGCGTTCCCTGGCCTGACGTGACCCGTCTCCAAAAGATTTATTTTTTTTTAGCTTGCTGTCTGAAAGTAGGTAGTCTGCCAAGAAGCCAACCAAGGCCCGGCCCTATGCCTGATAAACATCCCTCCATCTGGATTTCCCAAGCTTTAGGGAAAATTAAGCAATATTCACTTCACCATGTTTGCAAGTCTCACAGAAAGCTATTTCTATATATATAACATTATTCTGCAGAGAGAAGCGCAGAGCCCCATGCCATGAAATGGAGCTGAGGGCTGAAGTAGATCATGCAACCACTCCCCCTACGTTAGTCACAACTAAGAACCGTCACTCCTTCTCTGAAATATCACAAAGCCTTGAGTGACCGTTTATTCAAAATACTACTGGGACCCTTCTTCAAAGTGGTTTTCAATGACTGTAATTACTAAATGAACTCAAGAAAAGCAAAGGCTCCAACTGCCAGTTGACAAAACAACCGTTGTGTGCAGGGAGATTGCTGGCCACTGAGGCAATTAATCCGTTTGGTTTGCCAGGGCAGAAGGTAACATTCTTCCACCAGGTCAGAGGTAACCAGAAGCTCGGTGCAGGGCTGGAGGCACTGTGCTCAACGGTCACACGAGATAGCACAAAAGGTGTTAGTAGTTACAGGAGTCCATCTCAGTTCTGGCAGTTCAAAATAACAAACACCCACGAAATGTCAACGGTCAAAAGTGAAATAGCAGGTGTTCCTGAACTCATTTCCTAGCAGGCTTTATTGTAAAGGAACTGCTGTCGACTTGGAGGGGTGGATATTTACCTGGGGGTAAAGACCTTTCAGGTCTTTCCAACTGAACTTCTAATTTTCAAGTGCCAAGAAGCTATAGCCAACATGGCTGATAGCAAAATTTAGCTTTAGACTTGTCTGCAACGATGCACCAAGTCTTTTGCAAGCTGGAAAAAAACCTCCAACCCCAAGTAATAAAGGGGAAAATGTTCATCATATAGATGATGAAGTATTAATGTTGTATCATCCCAATAAACATTCCAGTGCTACATTCAACCTCTGCTCTAAGAGAAGAGCTCAGCACTGAAATGCCTGAAGGGAAAGTAATAAACAATTAGAATTAAAAAATAATTCATTGACACCACATTCACTACGAAGCACAGTGAAATGTCAAACCTTACAGCTGAAGAAAAACTTCTGGGACAAGTGGAAATGTCCACAAGTTGATTGCTACAGCTGAATTTCTATAAAGTTCAAGGTAAGTAACAAGTTGGTGTGAAGAGAAAGAATATCACGCAGGTGAGTAGCGAGAAGGAAAAGCTGTGCTTCATAGTATAATCCCTCATTTGATAGTCCAGAAGTGAACGGCACACTGAACTGCACACATCCTGTTAAACGAACAAAAATACTTTAGATACATTACATAGAAAAACGTTAACACAGCTGGGTTTGTACAGAACAAACAACAATTCCGAAATAGAGCTACTTTGGGACGCGTTCAAAGCAGCAGTCGGATTTTCAAAAAGACCTCGGTTGCTGGGACAAACAGCTCTTCCCCCACCTTCCTCACCCCGAACACCCCATCTAGTGGTGCCATCGGCAGCAGAAACGGCAAAAGGACACTTGGGCTCATCCGTTGCCCCTTGGCGTGTCCCTGAATGCCTGAACACCTCCACCTTCCACTGGGAGACCCCAGAAGCGTCAGCACTGATGCAGAACTGCTTTTAGCTTATCATAAGCTTTAAAATGCTTCTTCCAATGTCGCAGTAGCAGCATTTCAAAAATATTCTAGTTTTTCACCTCTGCTTTATCGTATTCTGTTCTTAAGGATGCAAGTCTGACAGGAACACTCTTTGACCACAATAACTTTTCTCAAAAGGTAAAGGCTTAATTTAAAAAGATTTTATTTCTGTCTTGACACCAGCTTCCTTTGCCCTCATCTTACAATGAAAAAATGTTTGTACAGGTGAGGTCTGTATTACCGTAGAGGACTGTGTGTACAGTTCTGCCGTGCCAGGGTCACGGCGGTTTTTTCATGCAACAGCATCAACAGAACAGACAATGAGTAAGTGAGAACATTTGCACATACAAAAAGGGAAGCAAACATTGCAAGAGCAAGCAATTTCAGCCCTTTTCTAAGTCTAAACTGAAGAAGATTGCAAAATTCCAAAGTCCCAAATACCCATCTGGGAAGAAGGTGAGCCCGAGAATAATTTTACCTGTTGACACTCTGAATCTAAGCCAGGCAAGCAACTCGATAGCAGCGTTCGCTTCCTACACCCTACAGCTGTGCATGTATATGGAACTTTGTACTTAAATATCCTGCTGGCAGCGAGGTCTTAGCTCAGTACAGTAACGCTGTAAAGACAGGAAAAACGGTAAGACTTTGACTGTTACCTACATTTGCACTGAGTAAACGTCTTTTAGGAGTCATAACATTTGCTAGAACCATATTAAAACCAGGACCGTGGGATCTGTCCACTAAGGAACTTGTTAGCAGCTCAGCTTAGACTGCTGCCTTCATCTCCCCTCAAGAGGCAACAACATTCACTAAGTAAAAAAAGTAATGAAGTATCCAAGAGTGGAAAGCTTTGCCCAGGAAACCCTTCACTGAACCCAGCCACTGCACAAGAGAGATGCAAGGGTAGGCCTTGGACAGCCTCTCTTTAAGGATGTGAAAGGTGGCAAAGAGATTGATTGCTGACAAGTCATCGCACAGCAGCTTTGAAAAAACAAACAAACAAAAAAAACACCCAGAAAAAAGTCTCATTTTAGTTTTGGGAAAATTCTGATAAAGAGAATCATGCTGATAAATATAAAACAAACTACAATTAACATTATCCATAATAGCCAGTTGACTGATTTCTTTGCATGCTGTTCAAGGCGGTCAGATTCATCCTTGAGCTTCTCGAAGTTCTGGTCTGCCATACGGAGAGAATGCGACAGCGTCTGGGGAGGAAAAAGAACACACGGCTTCAAACTCAGAGTTGAAAGTTCTGAGCCCTATTTCTGCCCACAGAGAAAAGGGTCTACACAGGCAGAGAGGTATTGCCTGCAAGTCTCCCCACTCTAACCCCGTCTGGAATCAATTTATACGTGTAGTATTTAACACAGCAGTACTTTAACCTTTTGGGTTGCAAAATTGAGCGTTTAGCACTTTAACATGCTCTACCTGGTTATCTTGCTTTATCACATTCTGCGCAGCCAGAGTGTTGTTTTTGAGACTGCGAGCCAAACTCAGCATTTCTTCAGCTAACTTCTCCTGCATATCCTGGTGGTGCTGTAACACAGCATCCAGCTCGACCGCTGACTGCTTTTCATCTGATGCAAGACCTCTGCAAGAGCATAGCGGGGAAAAAAAATCTGGTATTTGTACTTTGCTGTGGGTCAGTCTCCCAAGGTCTCCCCAGACTCAGCAACTCCAGTGAGACAGTTAAGTCAGCTGAAGTCGTATTTCATTTTCTACCAGCGGGCACTTCACCCGAACAGAAGCATCAAATAGATTCAAAGGTCACTGAGAAAGTAGTTCCCAAGAATGAGAAATTTTAACTTACCTCCTCTTCCTTATGTTTAACTCCTCAGAATCTGGAAAAAAAAAAAAGCAGCTAAATTTGTGTTTTAGGATGTTACAAACTCTCATGCAATCACAGCCTGAAGAAACAAGTTTTCTGAAAGGGAGTTTTCAGATGTCCAAATCCTACTTGGCCCTCTACCTCAGGGAATATGGATTTCAAACTGCTACCTGCTTTCCACAGGGAAAAGGAGACAACACCTAACATCAAAAGTGTGGTTGAGAGAAAAAAACAAGATGAGTCATATCCCTGAGGGCACGGTTTAAGCCCGTGTGTCTTGGTGTTCTTTTTCAGGACACGTTAGACTGGCCGAGCTCCAGCCACTGTAGCAGTAGCTATGGAAACTGCAAATTAATTCCCACCAGTTCCCTACTTTTTTTTTGCTGGATATTTAAGAGGAATTGAACAACGCCTACTCTAAGGGCCTGAAATCACGTGATGGGCTCAGAGCAGAAGAGAACAGGAATAACGATAAAAGATAAATTGTCCTTGCTAATTCTACAATTAAAATGCCTGTTTCTGTACAAATTCTAGAGAAATAGGTTCCTGCAAGTCTCTGCTACCATACTGATAATAGCACTTAGGCTTTCAGCTGTTAGCATTTTTGTTTTCGTTTATTTTTAAAATCTGCTATCTTGACAAGTGAGCCCCTTTGGCCAATCTCCAATACCTGACCTTCCTCTTCCTCTCCTTGTAAGACTCAGGTGAACTAAAGTTAACAGAAAACAACAGATTTAACTTACCATCGATAGCCAGAGGGTCCTGAGAGGCAGAAAGAGAAACAAAACAGGCGATTACAAAGGGTTAGTGATAAAAGACAGTCCTCCAGCCTGTGCCCAGTATTTAGACTATCCAAACCAGGAAAAGGTGACTCCCCGTGCCCCGAGCCTGGGGCACACCTGAGGCACAGGCACCAAAGGCAGCTGAGTGCAACAACAGTCAACCTATAAAGTAGTGGTAAAGAAACAGCAGCACCAAAACATACTGTACCAAGCAGCTCACTCCTCATCTTGCCTGTGCAACGAGCCTTCGTCTGCAGGTGAACTGTTTTAGTAGCTGGGGTTCTCTCTTTGGTTGTTGTAGGGGTACGACCAGGGGCCAAGAACTGATTTGCCAGAGCCTTTTCAGTTGAAGATGACTGCGAGCAGGAAAAAGCAATGAAAAGTCATAAATATCACCTTCTGCTGCGTGAGCCCACCCGGGTTGGGTGCAAGGATGCAGCGAGCCCCTGTACAGAACATCCAAGGAGGAAGAAGGATGTAAGCAAGATTACTTTGCTTTTGAAAAGGAGAAAAGAAATTTCAGATTTTGTACAACACCCCCTTTTAACTAAATACAAACAGGGAATACATCTATTCATGTCTTTACAAGGACTGCCTGATAAGATTTTAACAAGTATTACTCAGAGACATAAAGGCAAATGTAAGAATGAGGGAATAAGCACCGAACGCTTAAGACTTGTCAAGCTGAATTAGTAGATCTTACCAATTTTTCAGCTTCTAAAAGTCCCTTTAGGAAATCCACTTTGCGAGAGTACTCATTCAGCAGTTCTGGGGCTGGCTTGCTGTTGGAATTGAAAAATAATATGAAAACCAGAAGTTATCAGTATTTTCTGTTGCTCAGGTGACTTTTTGGGCTGGTTGACGTGCCCAAGGTCATGACAGGAGCCGCAGAGCTCCTCGCAGGGCTGGGTCGTGGCTGCTTTGCGGGGAGTTTAGC